TATATATATATATCAGAAGGAAAAAACTGGAAAGGGGCAAGGGGCAGGCAGAAACAATGGACACACACAAGTGGTGCTTCTGAGAGACAGGAACAAATTTGCACAGGGCATGGTAGCTATAAATCTCAGCACATTGTTCACTGTTTGTATTCCTTGATAGCCCTACTGAGAGACTAAGGATTCAGAACATATATTTCACTGCAGCCTAGGCATGAACTCAAAACATTCCTTAAAGAGCCACTAGCATAACTATTAGTGAAGCCGCCGGATCAAGGGAATTGGGCAGCCATGGTCCCCTACATTGTGCCCAGGTCCTGTTGGTTCAAGGGGGAAGAAGAGATATAAGATGAGAATTTTTGGATGCCAAGATCAAGATTTGGGGCAAGTACTTTTTGGTGAGAGGACACCAGCAGAGATCTAAAACCTCAAAATATGCAGCGAAGGGTGGAAATATATGCTGTTGTACCTTTAAAATATGTTTCAAAATGTCCCTCTTCCCTCAGCATAGCGAAAAAAGACCATGTTTGGTAAGTTAAAAATAGTTTCCTTACAAATTCCTCAAAGGTTGAGTTCATATGCTTTTTCATACAGCATTCAGAAAATGTTGCCAGGAAGTAAAACACGGTTTAGCTACAGTGATGAAAGTTCCTAAATTATTGGCAGAGGAATTCAAGAGAGGCTTGTTAGAGCCATGCGGTCTGAGCTTAGAGCGACCAGTTCAAACCACTTTACATGCTGAGCTTCTCATTAAGACTGAAGTACAAAAATAGACTTGATTACCTTCCTCCCAAGATGAGTGACCTAGCTAAGCCTGTCAGGACAGCTTACTCTATGGTATTAACCCCTTCATGCATTAATTAGACTTAAACATGTTAGTGATATGAAGCTGGTTATCCCACAGGTCCAACTATAGCTGAGGACCCCTTCTCCTTCCCACCTATCATCACTCAGGCTGTCAGAGAGCATGAAGTCAGCAGCCAGGCCCCTCTCCATCACACTGGACTCCAGACTCACCTGAGCACAGCTCTCCCTTCCTGTAGCAGCATTTTGCACTGTATATTTAAATTTTACAACTTACTTTTGTCTGAAAAGCAGGAGAGTCATCCAACATGCTTTAATACATAATCTTCTGATTGGTTTGTGGTTGTGGGTGGAAGATAGAAAGAATGAAAGTTCCAAACTTATAAAAACATGATAATTTTACGAGTGTGGATTTCATAAGAAATCTTTGATGATACTGGATTGTCGCCAAACAACAAAATTTATTATAGCAATCCCACAATATTTAGTGAGAGGCTAGTAAAAAAAGACCATCCAAAAGTTTTTTAATGTCCTAGCCTTTGCACTACATATTATGTGTGCTATGCACTGGTTAATACAATGAGCCCATTGAGGTCCATTTTGAAACCCAAAATTACAGAGGCACGTATTTTCCTCCAGACCAATTTGCGGCAACAGCAGTGCTATCAGCAGGGAGTAGCAATTTTGGCAGGAGATTGTCCAACTGCCAGCAGAGCTTCCACTGAGCCTCTTACAAGTGTGATTATTATTAGACTCCAAATTGTCATTCCGTTTTTGATAAGTGTATTTCGTTTTGCGTTTGTAATGCGTGCAGCATGCAGCATGAACAGTCCTCACACGAAACTGCAAATGTCAACGTTACACATGTAAATCCAGACTTGTATCTGCCCAGCAATTAAAAATGGCTACTCAGAATTGCATTTCCAATTGCACATAACACGAAAATAGCTCTGGGCCCTGTGTTATGATGGAAATGAAAGGACATGTGTTGCCAAACAGTTATTAGAGGTAAGGTCGCCGTATTTCAGAAATTGAAAATCCGGACAAAAAGTTGTTGACCTTTTTAATCGCGGGGGGTGGGGTGGGCAAATTGATGAACTTACAGAAAAAAATAAGAAAATCTGCAAAAAGCCCCACATACAACATGGGTTGCCATATGTCCGGGTTTCCCCAGGCATTTAAAGAGGTAATTACTGGGATCCTGAGGACTACAGAGGAAGCTTCAGCATGTACAGTAGGATTTCCAATTTGCTTGCCATAAACCACTGCTAAGTCTCAGACAGACTTTGGCAAAGCTGCTATTACTATCCCATTTTACAGATGGGATCAAATGAGGCTGTTTGCCTGAGACCACACCAAAAGCTTATGGTGAGCTGAGATTGAAGCAGGAACTCCCACTTTTGACTTCATTCTCCGACAGCCCAACCATACTCATGTTTATTCAGACATCCATTGAGTTCATTAGGGCTTTCTCCCACTCAAAACCAGTGCTAAAATTGCAATCGCAACCAGGGGTAGCCAACATGCCTCTTTCCAGATATAGGTGGACCAAAATGCCCATCATCCCTAACCATTGGCCATGCTGGCCGGGGATGATGGGAACTGTAGTCAAACAACATATTGAGAGTACCACCATTGGTTGGCCCTGCTCTGCCCCAACTCCAGGTTAATAGAAGTAAATAAACATATGGTGAATAATAATAATAAGTACCGGTATTTCTTCTTAACTACTATATTTGTTTCAAGGAGAAGCCATATTGCTAGTTACAAATTCTGGAGGCAAGGGGGAGGCAAATTGATATAACCATGTTGGAATAATCATTGTTGTTGTTGTAATTTCTATGTGCTAGCCTGGTCACCTGAATTTGAAATTTCCATCTTATGTTGCGTCCTTCACGGATAATATATAGAGCTCATTAATCAATTGAAAGTTTGCCTTTTGCATTAATTTATTATTACACAAGTTACCAATAAGCTGCATAAATGTGTATTGTTAAAAACTTATTACTAGATCAACTGCACATTTTCCTTAAGCTGTTCCATCGAATGAAGCTCTTGAAAAACCACCACAAAACTCCCAGAGTAAATCTTTACCATCTTAATATAGCGTCAGATGCAATCTGAGATTTCCAAATCACTAACAGTGTTAAAAGAAGATTTGTGAACATTTAGGTATGATCATTTGCATTTTCTGGGTTTACAGCTTTCTTGAAATGCCTAAAGTATTCTATTGAAGGATAAGATCAAAACTGATTCTTAGGAGATATGTAACCTTTCAAAATAAATAAATAAATCTAACCATAGGCGTTATAAGAACCAGCTGTAATAAACAGCAGTCAAGGAAATATATCTGTTCCACATATGGCAAGGCTTTGAGTCTATTTCCTTCAAATATGTGTAACTTTTGACAGATCCAAAGGTTTTATTTGAATATTTAACATCATGCTCTTCAGTACAAATTCCCAGAGTGACTTCTAATTGAAAATTTGAAACAATGATTCCAAAGTTAAAATCTAAGGAAAAGAAAAATATATGTCAGCAACATAAGCAGATAAAAGCCATGTTATAAAAAAACAAGGAGAGCTCTAAACAGTCTGGGAGAGAATTTCCCCTCCGCTGCCACCCCCCAAAAACAATTTGCTGAATAGACAACACATTCTTTGCCAGATGAACTTTCTGAGGAAAGTTTCCAAGCCAGAGCCTCACCACAGAGAAGGTTCTATCTCTGGTCTATACTTGGCTCACTTCCAGGGGTAGTGGGGCCCTGAGATCATGTCATAGCAAGCACGTCTAATTAATGTCTCCACACCATCTGCCCAGATGCATTTGTAAAGGTAGTCTAATAATTCTGTGTGGGATGCCAGTCCCAAATCCTGTATCAAATACCTTCTGTTTATTTTCAACAGTGACCAAAGGTTGGAGTCTCATTCTAACCCAGGGCACAGCAACCTTTTTCAGCCATGGGCCGGTCCACCGTCCCTCAGACCATGTGGTGGGCCGGACTATATTTTGAAAAAAAATACATGAATGAATTCTTATGCCCCACAAATAACCCAGAGATGCATTTTAAATAAAAGCACACACTCTACTCATATAAAAACACCAGGCAGGCCCCACAAATAACCCAGAGATGCATTTTAAATAAAAGGACACATTCTACTCATGTAGATGCTGATTTCTGGACCGTCCTCAGGCTGGATTGAGAAGGTGATTGGGCCACATCTGGCCCCTGGGCCTTAGGTTGCCTACCCCTATTATAACCCAACTCCCACAGGAAGAATATATCACACTTTGGCCCATGACACTAGTGGTTACCAAGGTCAAATTTACCAGCAAGATTGATTGCTAAGAGAGTAATTAAGGAAAGAACACATTGTAAGCTGGAGGTATGAAACGGATAAATAGGTTTGAGCTATAGCTGAAAGCTGTGTGGGGTGGGATGAAGCTGATAACTGGGATCTTCAGTGTTTCAAGGCCCTTGCCACTGTTTAAGGGGAGATTTAGTACATAATTTTGTTAGCTTTGCCTCAAAGAATGTTTCCAGATAGGGGCTGAGTAATTGGCACCATTGTTTGTCTTGCAGAAAATAAATTAAGAAGGCTGTTCATCCATTCTGATACCGCCAGCCTATGCCACGTGATGGCAATCAGAATGGAGACTGGCACAATCTCTTTGTGGGCAGTATATGAAGGCACACTAGCCTAGTGTGTACAAGTGGGTGTCTGCTGCATGGTAGAGGTCCTGTGAACCTTCTGGCTTGCCAAAAGCAAGGTGGTTCTTTAAAAATGAGATTCAGAAGTAATACAAAAACCAGTGAGTGAGAAGATTAAAGATTTTATTCTAAACAACAAGCAGTATATACATATGATACGGTAATCTTTATTGTCATTGTCCCATACAGAACAACGAAATTCAAAAAAAATCTACATCAGACATTCAAAAACCAACAGGCCTGCTATCCCAGCTATCCCAGCCTGGTTAACCCCCTAATAACTCTGATACCCCATAATTAAATACAATATACTCCCACAGAGACTACCTTACACTGCATTTAAAACCAAAATCTCATTTGGATAGAAACTGTTTCTCAGGCAGCTAGTCCTAGTCTTTATAACCTGTACCTTCTTCCAGAAAGCAGAAGCTGAAAGAGATTATTTCCAGGATGTGCACTATCCTGCACTATCTCTACAGCTTTCTTATGACACCTGGAAGCATAGATTTGATCCAAGGTGGGAAGAGTACACCCAATTATTCTCTCCGCAGTCTTTACAACCTTGGACAGCGTTGTTTTTCCCCTGACCATGCAGCTCCCAAACCACACACACAGACCATGAGTTAATACACTCTCAACAATACAATGGTAAAATGCCATCAACAGGTCCTTTGAGAGATTATTTTCACAGAGGATTCTCATACCAAGCAAGCACCTCAATTTGCCACTTGGAAGCCCTCAGAAAGTGGAGAAGTGACTCTCCCAGGTAGCCTCAGGTTGCACGGCCCTGCGGCTGTCAGTCTATGCATGAGCTTCTCTCTCACACTGTCCACAACCATCTGATTTATAGATAGTTAAGCTGTGTGGTTTTCCCAACTAACTACATGCAGCTCACTAGCTTTGTGCAGATTATTCATTACCCACCTTCTCCCAATGCCTCACTTTCCTGAAACAATGTTCAACATCAAAGAAGATTCTCAACACTATCGCTTCCTTCCAACAGATTAGGACATTAAAGGCTGTTCTCATGCCATCAAAGAGCTTAACAAAAGATAGGAGAAAGGATGGAACAGGGGGCAGGAAGGATAACCATGTCAGATCACTAACTCCTCGAAATACAAATATCTTCTGGATGGATTGCCAATACACCTTCACATCCAAATCCACATTCTATTGAACAGAGAATGCTATGCAGCAGAATAACATCCACATTCAGGTGCACATCAGAATAGAGATGCCACTCTTCTGTACTTCATTACTTTCATGGACACACATTTAGATGTTGACTTTAGGTTTCTTCTTCAGGTTCCAGATGTTTTTCATGGCACTGAAGAATACCCATCAGCTACAAGGCTCTGATACACTGCTTGGATCTGTCCAGTCATGGGGAATCAGGAGCTATGCAGATGTGCAGCTGTCCATACTTGATTAGATGATGCATTAGCATGAATAATTTTGTACCAAACCATGCTGTCTTTTGCTTGCATCTGTTTCCAGCAGCCCTGTCTGTGAGCTAAAGCATGTACCAGTTAACATGGGAAGCAGATTCACTGTAATTTCCATTTTCAGTTAATCAGGAAAAATTGCCCTGAATGACAAATAAACGTTGAACAGAAGATGATTACAATTAGGACCTACAACAAAATGTTGTAGTATTTCATTGCTTCTTAAAGGAGAGCTCCTGTGCAGGGTTCCACAAGCAGCCCATTCCACTCCCTTTTCTTTTCTTTTCTTTTCTTTTCTTTTCTTTTCTTTTCTTTTCTTTTCCAGCTGATACTCAAGCATTTAGTGGCCACTGAGCACACTTAATCCTCATCAATCTGTTTCCCACACTGGGTGGGTGGGGGCTGTACCTTAGGTATTGCTTTTTATTAAGGTTTTTCTTTACTTACGCAAACATCAGGGTCATCGTCCCCCAGCATGCTGCTTCCCAATTTTGGCTGCAGTGCAGTTGGCACTTGCCACTCAACTTTACTGTTAGAGGGAGGGATGGTTGAATTTTTAAAGTAGGAGTGTTCCATCATTTTCAAAATGGAGAGATTTCTGTACACAGCTTCTTGAAAGAAGACAGATTTTTACAAGCACAGTTTGAGGACCAGAGTGTGCCTTTGCCTATCAAGAGAGTCACATACTGGAAGCAGAACAACAATTAAACTTCATTCTGCTGAAGGCAGGGAAATGTGGGCAATTTGGAAAGCACTACTTGAATTCCTATTGGCTGCTCAATTATTACTCAATGAACTCATTGAACAAGGCATGGACTCCGTTTTTACTAGTTTAGCAGGTATGGCAAGCACATAAAAGCATCCAAACTCCTCCAAATGGTGGCATCACAGACGCTAGAGTTTCTGCTGATGTAATGTCTCCAGAGTTTGTTTGAAACAGGGTGTTCCCTCCTTCCCCTTTTCCCTATCTTTCAACCCAGACCTGGGTCATGCTTGCAAAACTCTTAGAGAAACCAAGTATTTATGGCATGTACTCTCAGCAGCCAAATTTCATTGCCCATAGAGTAGATAGCTCCATAATATCCAGTACTGGACCATAGAGGAAGAGCCTGTATAAACCCAGCTGTTGTGAATTAGGCTAATCTCTTCTATTTTATTTGTGGTTGCAGTCATCAGTGAGAGTCAGAGGTCCATGGATAGAGGTCTCATTGTAAAAACATAAGTGGGGCTTTGTGAAATCTGTTCGCTGGTTACAAGACTGAAAATAAGAGTTTTTGGAGGGGGTCATCATATCACTCTCTCTGCTTCCCCCGGTATTTCCTCTTTGCTGCTGCTGCTGCTACTGTGCCACATTTTTTTATTCTCAAGTTAGGATTTCCATCCCCTTTTTAGAGGGATCCCAGCCAATCAGGGATCACATAGTGAATAGGACGATATCACAGTGCTATGTAGACAGTCAGAGTTGGCTACATGACTGATACCAATGAGAACGAGCAAAGATAAATGAGAAAAATAAAGGCGAAGGTTCCTTTATCGATCACTTAGGTGATCTGAGCCAGTTGTCCTTACTCTATATGTGAAGAATTCACTTCGTCATTTTGATTCAGTCCCACCCATTGCAATTCACTTCTCAAAAACTCTTATTGACCGAGACCTAAAATGTAGACTTTGTATGATTCCTATCTAAGGACACCCATAATTATGTGTAATATCTTTGTGGTTTTAAGGTTTCATATAACACTGTGTGTGTGTGTGTATGATGCAAATCTCAAATTAATATTCAGGGTAATTAGAACACCTTTCTGATGTGCAGCTACTAACATGTTCCACCCCACAGCAGGAAGAACACCATCTTTATTTCAGGCCTATTCCTTTTCAGACTGAAGCATGGCAGGCAGGGGTAGGTCAACTTGTGTCTGGACTAGATAATTTTATGAGCCTCCATACAAAAAAGAGCAATTCTCCCACATAGAAATTTAGAACATTCCAGGTTTGACCCCTGTCTTCTCAAGGTTTGTGTTTGACCTTAATAAAAGCATTTTGTGACGATAAAGTCCTAGCTGAGGCTTGGATGATCACATGCCAATCGGAGCTGAAAATATTAGGCAAGCTGGACTAATAGCCTGACTTGGTGCAAGGCATTTCCAGTTAGGGAGAAGACGGCTAGCTTAGTGTTTTCCTTGAAATGCTCATCTTTTGTGTGTGTGACAGTTTTGTTTTCACTGGGATGCATTACCTCACTTCCCATTCCATATGCAGCAGTTAGGGTCAATCCCACCATTAGGCAGAATGAGGCAGCCTCCTCCGGTGGCTAATTTTGAGTATCATGAAAGGGCAGCAAATTGTTAGTTATTTAATTGATTGTAATTTTTGCTGACAGGGAACGAGAAACCTGCTTGTGGGATTTTATGCTTCAGGTGCCAAAATAACTTGGATGCTATGCACCTTGACTTTCTTTTTCTTTTTTCTTTTTAGGAGGATGGTGGTAGCAGGCAAAAATGTACAGTGTTGTCCCTTTTAATATGTACTTTGCTGCGAGTTCTCTCCTTCCTGAAGGAACCTTTTCTGTGTCTGTTTGTGCTTCTTTGTTCACTCAGGATGGCTTGTCTTACAATTCCTATGACAGATGAAAGAATGTTCCTGGCAGCATGGAGAAACTATCTCATGCTAACTCTGACTAATCAGAAAAATCAACAATGGGACTGGAACGTTCATAATAGGGAAGAGGTTTGATTGCATTATTGTTGTGATTTCAGCACTGGCGTTGCTAAACAGTTTTTAGCCTGTGTGCCAGCACATCCATCTATGGATGGATAGAAAGCATGTGAAATAATAATGCCCTCCCCCACCACCAAGAGCCTCTTCCTATATGCCATTTTACCAACACTAGTGTAGCCAAAGAAAAGATTTGTAGCTTGTAGCTGATGTTGTGCTAAGTACAAGGATTTACACCTGCCCCTCTCTCCTGCCAGGACCCTCCAAAATCTGTTTTGGGGGTTCCCCAACCTTCCTGAGACCGATTTTGGGAAGACACAGGCTGCATGTGGATTGGGGAAAGAGTCCCATTGTGCATATGTGAATCTTTGCAGTGATGCAATGATTACTTAGTTCTGCATTGTACAGTCATACCTGAGAAGTTGAACAGAATCTGTTCCAGAAGTCCGTTCAGCTTCTGAAACGTTCGGAAACCAAGTTGCGGCTTCCGATTGTTTTCCAATTGCGCAGGTATGCCGGAAACAATAGCGGAAGCCGCGCCGGACGTTCAGCTTCCCCAAAAACGTTTGAACACAAGAACACTCACTTCCGGTTTTCGATTGTTCGGGAACTGGAACGTTTGACTTCCAAGGCATTTGAGAGCCAAGGTACGACTGTATACCAGCCTGTGTGGTTTGCACTTTTTAAAATGAATTTCAATTTTAGGTTGTTAATTGCCATTTTTAAAATGTTGGAGGCATATACCTTTTTTGCAATTAAATAAAATCTGTCTACCAGAGTCAGCATGGGAGCCTGTGCCTCTTGAGCCAGGGGAAACTCTTGTCACCACCTCCGCTCGACCTGTATCCCTCTCCCCTTCCTGCTCTGCTGGTGGCGGTAGTGCCACCGCACCTTTCACACATCCCTCCTTACTCTGTCCTCCTCCCCTTCTGTGCCACAGTCCAAAGGTCCTTCCTCAGAGCCACAGATGAGGTGGTCAGGAATCCAGCTCTGCTGCAGCAGCAAGGCAGGTGAAGAGGGGGAGGGGGAGCCCTGTGCCCACTAATGTCTCAATTTACCTCAAGATTGCCCCAAACCTGCCCTTTACACTTGTCACATGTGAAGATCTTGCATGTACCCATTTTGCTGTGTTCATGTGCATTGGGAACCAGCTGCCCATCACAACTCTGTGATGTGCATAGAGGAGTGTTTTCTAAGTTATGAGGCTCTGATTGTAAAGAGCTTTTCATTAGGTATCTTGGGTTTTTATATCTTGGTTTTACTCTGTGAACTGCCCTAAGACCCCCAGGTATAGGGCGGTATATAAATTCAATCAATCAATCAATCAATCAATCAATCAATCAAGTGTGTTTCAGTGCTGGCCTCATACTTCTAGAACTGACTCCTGCAGGAAAAATTCTAAAATGTGATTTCCCCCAGTTTTAAAGTAATCCTGCTTTTAATTTCATGTACTGTGCATCAAATGCTACAGAACAGATTGAAGCGGGAAGTAAAGTGTTATTGCTTTATTTTAAAAAATGATGATTTTGTACTAGGTTAGGTTTTCATGGAATTTTGTCCACTGCCTTAGGTGGGTGATTGTGCCCTGAAGTGGAGTTTATACATTATTTTATAAATGAACAATGCATGTGAGTGCTTCAAGGCCTGATGATCAATCTGGCATCCATCAGACTACAGTTGCCATCACCTCCAGCCAGTACAGCCATGTCCCCTTCAGTCCCAGCATCATAGGCTTAGGGCTGATGGGAACTGTAGTCTAAAACATCTGGAGGGGACCACATTGGCAAAGGTGGGCAAATGTGTTTTCTCCCATACGTGCTGATGTGAATGCAACTGCTACAGGTAAATTGGTTCCCAGAAACCTCCATGCGTGTGTGCAATCTAGGGTGTGCTAATTGCTAAGAAATATTTAATATACTACGGTGATCTGTTTGCTCCCTTCACCAGTGGGTATGTGAATAACCTGATTTGCCTGCAGCCACAGGCATGCCAACACAATCTACTAAAGGGAAGAAAAGAATAAAGGAAAGCGTCCTATTTAATTTGAAACTGTTGCCGCACCCATTTCACACCTGAGTTTCTCGTCCTCCAGGCCAAATTAACTTACATGCTGTGCATAATTTTAAGGATGTGTTCCACTGATGGAACTGTCAAGAAATAGCCCTTTCTTTCTTCCTTTCTTTGCTTTTAATGTTTGCTATTTCCCTTTCACAGTTAGTGCTAAGCCCGTATGAATATAGTGCATTGATTCCCATCTGGGTCACTGAAGATAACGTTTGTGTTCCGGTCTTAGCAGCAGATGCAAAATCTACTGTAGCTGGGAATACAGGAAAACAAAACACACACACACACACACACACACACACACACACACTTTAAAAGTGGCAGGTTTCTAATAGCAACAAATAGCCACCGTAATACCCCCATAGTGAAGAAACTTTTTGCAATCACTTGTTCCACATGGAACTGGGCCACACACTTTGGAGTGACCATACAAATCTGACTTTGAGACTTGTTGATTGGCCCAGGATCTCAACATCTGTAGGATCTTTACCCTGTTCTGTACAGGTGTGGATTATCAAAAGCCACCTTTCAGTGAGAACAGAGAAAACATCTCTTTGTTTCTGTAGGCTGCCTACACACATTTAAAACTCTTGACTTCCCTCAAAGAATTCAGGGGAC